AGGTTGTGCACTGAGCGTCCCTGGGGGCACGCAGGGGCTTCGAGAGACTCTGATATCTGTGTGATGGAGCCCCGTGGGCTCGTGCCGTGCGAAAGCCCACCCATCCCCTGGACTCCTGACGTGACAGCTGGCACAGCCTACTGTAGGGGAGGTGGAAGCCCAGGGAAGTCTGGTTCAACTGGTATTTAACTTGCCTTTGTGATTAATACAGCAATTTTTGCACATTTTATCTCTCTTGATTGTCTTTGCGGGAGCAGGTGGGCGTTAACAACTCTATCTTACATGTGGGTGAAGAGAGGACCATACAGGGGAAGGGACTGGCCCCGCTGTTCGGGTCCGAGCACGGCCGTCGCAGGGCCAGGACGTGGGTCGGCCGATGGCTTGTCCAGGGCTCTGGCCGCAGGACTTGTGGGCTGCCCGTGACGCTGCCCACTCATCCTCTGTCCTTTGCAGGGGAAGGACCCTCAGGCATCTCCGCCTCTTCAGCACCTGCGTGTCCCTGGGAGGGAGCTGCTTGCATGAGCCTCGACTCTGGGTTCGGTTTCCAACTCTGCTGGCTGATTGCCCGTGAGCAAGCTACTTCCCTCCGTCCGTCCTTCCTTCATTCGCTCATTCGGTAACTATTTATTGGGTGCCTACTGTGTACCAGGCATGCGTCAAGCCCTGGGGATGCCCAAGTAAACAGCACGCACACACGCACACACACATCCCTGCACTAAGTGCTCCATCACCATCAGCTACACCCTCCGGGCTTGACCTCCCCCTGCCCGTTCTCCTGGTGCTTTGTAGGCGCAGTGACCTCTCCCCAGGGATCAGAGGAGGAGGTCAAGCTCCCTCTCTGGGCAGCCTCAGCCCTTGGGAGCCAGCGAGGGAGGCATGGGAAAATTACCCATTCATCCCTGTGCTCCCATTTCCTGGCCTGGGGTGGCTGAGCATTGTCATGGTTGAGCTGGTGATAATATATTCCATCACACGGTGCTCGTAACATTAACATCCGTGCTTGTCTTGGTGAATGATTTTCCCTGATACACAGAGCATTTCCTGTACCAGGCACCGTGTGCTGTTTATTTATAGGGTCCCTAAAGGAAGGGAGATGCCAGTTTCCTCGTATGTGAAGTGGGGGTGGAGGGTGGAGCTGCTTGGAACAGTCCTGTGTCCACAGGAGGGACTGCAATCGTTCGATTAAACCGTCTATGTGAATGACCTCACCTAGAGCTCGGGGCCTAGCAGGCAATCAGGAAAAAAAAAAAAGCCACCCATTTTTATGTTTAGTATTATTGGAGACATCAAATTCCACACAAGGAGGGAACATGTCTTTGCTTGCCAGAGATCAAGAAGCCTGCAGCCTCTGCTGCGTCATTTTTTCAGGGGGGTCCTTACCAGGTAAGTGCCACAAGGGAAAGGTTTGGCCGGCTCGGCCTGAACCTCCTGCTGCCTCTGCGTGGCACAGTCACAGCACGTTGCAGCCCCTCACGGGTCGGCATCAGCCTCTGTCTCCTCCAGAAATTTCCCTGACACTTGAAAGGAGGAAATCGGAACAGGCACGCCGGGCTTCTGGGCTGGGATTCTGCGAGGCAGCAGCTGTTGGCGTGCTTGCCCATCAAAGGCTGCGTGTTGGGACAGTGGAGGGCGGGAGGGGAGAGGAATTTGCAGGAAGCGGGGAACAGGTAAGTGCGCAGAATGGTCCTCAGACGTGCTCAGGAAGAGAAAAGACAGGAGCAAAGTCTGCTCGTGCTTAGAGGGGATCTGAGTCACTGCAGACGTGATGGTGATGCTTCTGGAAACATTAAAGGGGCTTTTGTTTTCACTCTCCAGGGCACTCAGGGAGTGATGGAGCTTCACGCCACGGCAAAGCGACGGTGAGCGTTTAGGGATTGTTGTCCTCCTATTACAGTCGAGGAGCTGAGGCTCAGACCCGTTGGAGGTGAGGACCATGGAGTTAAATGACGTGAGTTCAAATCCCAGCTCCGCCTCGTACTAGCTACAGATCACTCTGGGGGAAGTTACTCATTCTCTGTACATCAGTTTCCCCCATCTGGAATATGGGGCTGATAAAATAGTACCGGGTGGCTGTAAAATGCTTAGAAGAGTGCCTGGCACCCAAACCAGCGCGAGGTAAACGTTGGTGATGATGGTGACGAGCTTACGGTCTCATCACTGGAGAAAAGCGGACTCAGGCTCTGAACCCGAGTGGCCCAGGCCTGTGCTCTTTCCACGAGCCCTACGCTGCCTTATACTTAGGGAAAGGCACTGAAGAGTATTAAGCAGAAATATGTCATACTAACGCGAAGCCGGAGTATTAAGAGACAATTTGCTTTACCACTAGTGGCTGAGCGGGTGCACCAGTGGCCAGTCGGGAGAAAATTTGGGGGAGTGACCCTTGATCAAGGCCTTAAGCTCATTTGAAATTAAAACCGCCACTGTGACAAAAGCCTTAACATTATCTGAAAAACCCCACGATAGCTTCTCAGCTCACAGTACCCTTTACTAAGATTATTATTATGTGTTTTAGGGGTGGTTTCCTGAGCTCACTTTCCCAAGCCTCTGTGGTGCTCATTCTGTTCCCTGTGCCTGGAAATGCTTCTTTATCTCCGAGTCCTGCCTACCCTTCAAGATTCAGCTCAAGCCCCACCTTCTCCAGGAAGACTTCCCTGACCACCTGGCCCACAGGGTTGGCTTCCTCCCCTGCATCTGGGTGCTCACTGGGCCAGGAGCACGCAGACCTGTGAAATGTGAATCCTTTACACCGACATAGAAGTCCTTTTCTGGAAACTAGACTATAAGCTCCTTGGGACTGGTGTCCTGCCCTGAGTCTCTTTGTATTTTTTCTTCTCACTTTTGACTATGGACTACTGAATTTTTTTTTAAAGATTTTATTTATTCATGAGAAACAGAGAGAGAGGCAGAGATACAGGCTGAGGGAGAAGCAAGCTCTGCAAGGGGAGCCTGATGCAGGACTTGATCCCAGGACCCCGGGATCACAGCCTGAGCAGATGCTCAACCACTGAGCCACCCGGGTGTCCTGGATTATTGAATTTTTACAAGCTTACACACTCATGCTCACTGAGGTCTGGAGCCCTGGAATGACATTCTGTTTTTGCTGTTTTGGTTACAGCGTCTTATCCCACTGCCCGGCTCCAGTAGACGTGTATTCAGTCAGTTTTTCTTCCATTAAACAGACATGTGCTCAAGACCCACCAGGTGCAGACTCTAGGTGACTAGAGATGAAGGAACCAGGTTCATGGGGGGAACGGGGTGTGTAGCAGGGAAAACCAGATATGAACACAAGCAACTCCAGGCTGCTAGGTGGTGGGATGGAGGTAGGTGTTCGGGAATAGCACAAGCTGCCTGAGGGATGTGACCTGCCTCTAGAGTCAGTGTGAATGCGTTATCAGAAAAGTGGAGAAGGATGCTTGCTCGGGTACAGGGGACAAACAGCAGGCTTCGAGGAGCTTAATAGGACTGGGGCATGATAAGCTGGAGGATGTGGCCAGAGAAGGAACTGGCAGGAGACAGCCAGGAGAGGAAGGCCACGAGGAAGCTGCCCTAACTCGGTGTTGGGACAGTTTTCAGGATTTTTGGCAGGGTGTGTAATCTGTCAATCTGAGATGATAGATGGGGAAGCCTCTGTGGGTGACAGTGACCTAAATGTCAGTGAATCGGGGGGCTGGTGAAATACCCCCCAGGCAATGACCGAGGTGTGTAATACGGCCAACCCCAAACGGTCTGGATTTGCAAGGGCTATTTCTGTCCTGTCTGGGAGCGAGCCTGAATCTCTGTGCCACTTCCCTCCTCCCGGGAAGCTGTCTGTCCTGTGAGCTGGCAAGTCCCATGTTTTTGTGCCTGAAAAACCCTGCTCTCGTCCACCACAGGCGGCTCATAGCTTTCAGCAGAGGATTACTTAGAATAACAAGTTAATGACTGTCCTTAGATCAGGCGAGGCTTGCTGGAAGAAGCAGGCATGCCCAGAGTTCATTTCACTGCAGTCTGGTGGGGGTGGGCTGAGAAAACACGTTGCAAATTCCATTCTAGGAAAAAAAAAAAAAAAAAGAAAAGAATTCTTCACCCAGTCAAAGCGGCAATTTAGAAGGAGCGTGTGGAACGGGGCGTCATTTAAAAATATAAAAGCAACTGTAACCCTCTTCTGAGTGTGGCAGGGCAAGGGAGGCAGACCTACCTGGGGAGATGGGGAGTGGGCTCTCGGCCGTGCTGTTCTTGGGGTCAACTGATGCGCCCCCCCCCCCCCGCAGGAAACAGCTGGGGGCTCGCGTGTGATGTGGCGTGGGGAGACAGGGATAGGCAAGGGGGAGAGGAGGGGGCAGGGGGAGGGCAGAGGTGAGGCTCTGCTGGCTCTCCTCCATCAACACCGGAGACCACCAACAGGCCCGAGCTTCTGCTCTGCTCCCCACTGCTAGCGGCAGGCCAGCCCGTCCGATGCTCTTCTAGAAGCGTTGAAGGTGTCTATGCTCACTTGTTCGCTCACTCAATAAACATCTGATGTCCTGAGCCTATGAGAACACCCGATGACGCACAACCTCTTTGCCAAATGCTAACTCTGAAACCTGTGAAGTCTGTTAAGGCGCCAGTGGCTGTGAACAAATCTCTGGGAAGAGACACAACGAATGTGCATGTGGCGGGAATTACAGCGTGTCCCCGTCTTAGAAGAGCTCCAGGGCACTGAGGCTGGTGTTCTAGAAGCTGGAAGCGATGCCCGAGGCCCTGAGGGATAGACAGATGTGCAAGGTGGAAGGAGGACAGCACAGAAAAGCAATGTATGCTTACCACGAGCAGGGCCTTAATACGCACCACGCACGGCTTCTGATCTTTAAACCAATCCAGGTAATTCTTGCTTGGGGGAGGAGGTGGGCCGAGATATCAGACCCCTTTCCATGCATTGCAAATAGCAGAGTATTTTTACCCTGAAATGGCTCACTAGTATTTTTTTTTTGTAGCTCTATGATTTTATTAACACAAACACCATATGCACATCAGCTGTGTGTCTATTCATTTTCTTCACTGTGCAGCGAGGCATTGGGATTGGTGACCTCGATGGCCAGCTGGGCTGCTCTTCCCGCAGAGGTCCTGCAGTTCTTGGAGAAGACATTGTGAGTGATCGCCGCACAGTGAGACTTGTTGTTGCACATCAGCAGCACTTTCAGCTCCTTGTCATTGTGGGTGAGGAGCTTCTGGAAGCCACTGGGCAGCGTGGGCTTTGTCTTCTCATGGCTCATGTAACCAATGTTGGGCATCAAGATCGGGCCCTTGAAACTTCCGCACACCCTATCATCAATGCCTCTGGGTTCCCGCCAGTTGTGCTTCATTTTGACACATCGGTTCTGACTGGTGCCGGATGAACTTCTTGGTCCCATTTTATAGATCTTGGGCTTCCCCAGAGGTCTGAGGGCGGTCACGATGCCGAATGAGAGACGGCTGCTACCTCTGCAGGCAGCGCCAGGGGTGAGAGGGGAAGCCCACTCTTTCTAAACAGAACTCAACAGAGGCTTGGAGAGGTTAATTTGACTAACTTGTAGCTGGTAAGTGGCAGAGTTGCGACTTGACCCCATGGGTCTGACTGTGGCCCACGTGTCTCTCTGCTGCTCCCCCCGGGACTGAGCTGGGGGCCAGCTCTGGGGAACAGAGGGAGCGGCAGCCCGGAGCACGTCCAGGCTCAGCGGAAGGCCTGCAGAGGAGCTTGCCGGGGATGCAGTAGGAAATGGGGATTTCCAGGCCCCTCTGGAAAGGAAGGTTTCACCAAAGTGTGGGCTCCAGCTCCCCAAGGCCCCTGAGGCCCCCATCCTTCCTCCTTGGCCTGGCTGGAGACTCTGGCTCTGAAACCGGAAGTTCCTGAGGGATGAGAGTCCGGAATAGTGCGCTGGGAGTTGTATACAGGAAGAGGAAAACACAGGTAGAACTGGAAATGGTATAAACACATGACTCAATGCTTTCCCTGGTCTCCTCGCGGCTGGCTTGGCCTGTCGGCTGGGGAGGCCTCAGTCTTCTGGGGTCTCAGCTCCCGAGAAGAATCCCTGAGATGCTCTCTCCCACCGGAGATCTAGTTCTGAGGCCCATCCAGGCTGGGAGGCTGGAGCATCATCTTTACGGACGGAGAGGATCTGTTAAGGGGCCCCAGTGGAGCGGCAAGCATGCTGGCTTTGGAGTCAAGGATCTCTGGGCTTGAATCACAGCTCATTCCTTTACTGGCTGTGTGACCTTGCGCAAGTTGCCTAACAGCTCTGGGCCTCAGTTGTCTCATTGCTTACAGAGTAACGAGATAACAATACTCCTGGGAAGAGTAACGAGGTAACAATTATATAGATGCTTAAGCCATAGTGGTTACCTTTCACAGCACACAGTAGAGGCTTAATAAGTGCACTTGGTAGAAGCTAGCTTCCGAGGTGGCCCCAAAGATCTTTGCTTCTCACTATTCACTGGCCCCCTCTGATCAGTAGAATATGGCGGAAGTGATGGTGTGTGACCTCTGAGCTGAGGTCATGCAAGCATCGCAGGCTCTGCTGTGGTCTCTGGAATCATTTACTTGAGGAAGGCCGGTGCCAGGCCATGAGGACACTCAAGAGGCCTGGTGAAGGGGGCCTGGTGGAGGGCCTGCATGCAGGCTGGCTGAGGCCTGTGACCGACTCACCGGGCATGTGGGGGAGCGGCCCTCGCAGGGTCTCCCAGTCCCTTGTGACAGCAGCTCCAGCTGGCATCTGACCATAACCTCACGAGAGGGCTCCCCAGTCCAACCACTCTAGAACTCAAACTCCTGGAAACCATGAGAGACATGAAAGGACCGTGGCCACAAAACCTTGATGTGACTTATTACACAGCAATAGCTACTCATGCAAGTCACCCTCTTCTCTTCCCCCTGGCTCCCCCTTGCTTCTTGGACCAGTTCACTTGCCAGTCTGTTTTGGGGCCATCCCTCCGCCCTCACCCCACACTCTTTGTCTCTATTGGCTTCCTGGGTTGCTGGGAACTACCCTCAGAGCAAGCCCACAGCCCAGTAGACAGCCTCTCATGGCTCCCACTACCTAGGCTCCCCGGAACTTGATTATATTCACTATGCTGCCATCTTGTTGACCCGCACCTATGTCTCTACCTGCTTCGTGTCCTTCAGCCTCTCTAGCAGCCTCTTATCAGCTACTTCATTGGTAGAGAGGAGGCTGCCAGTGGGGCCTGGCTTAGTCATCTCCTCTGTACTCCCCTACAAGTGTATTTCCCTCCAAGTCCATTCTTTCTGACCTAGCACACAGATCTGATCATGCACTGGCCAATTTGCAATCTCTCCACAGCCCCCCAGGGCACCAAGATACAACCTCAGTGTCTGTCTGGTGGTAAGGAGCCATGTCCCCCGTGCCTCCTTCCCTGCATCTTATTGTCCAGTTCTTCCACTGTGCTTCAGCTTGCTTGAGAAATAGTTTCACTTGACATCATTGTTTTGAAGGATTTCAAGAGATGGAAACTAAAGGGTTGAGCCGGGCATCCCAGGGGCCCTGTGTCAGAGAAGGTCATCCCCTCACTAATCAAGAAATGCCTTTTGTGCCACACGGAGGAAGCTTGGAAATGATCCTCTAGGTAGTAGCCTCCAACAAGGGTTTTGGAACCAGAGGAAGAGCACAGAGAGGTGAATAATGAGAATATCATGGCTTATTTCACTGATGATTATAACAAAGTGCTGGCAAACAGATCTTTAAACACTTCCCTCTGCACTTGCACTAACTAGTAAAGCCACTTCGGTGGCCTCTTCCTTACAGAGGTCAGGAAGACCTTTGTGTTGACCTTCTCTGAGCAACCATGGACATGCACAGTGAAGACTGTTCCAGCAGGTCTGCAGTGAATCTGATCATGTTGAAAGCATTGGGAGAAATTGTTGGAACTTCCACCAGCCAGCCACAGACTTTGGTCCCTGGGGAGGCAGAATGAGCAACACAGATAAGGATCCAGCCCTGGGGAGGTCTTGAGAAATCCCAGTGTGTCTCTGAGCCTCAGTGCTTCCAGTTACAAAATGGGGATGATGAGGCCTGCCCCATGGAGGGTGCATGACGTACTGTATATAAAGCAATTGGAATAGAGGGAGAGCCAGTAAGTGCTACTTAATATCAATCCCCATACCAAAGTGACAGCTGGAGGCAGAGAAAAAACCCATACACACAACATCAAAAAAAAAAATTCCTTTTGGAAAAAAAAAGAGAGAGAGAGAGAGAGAAGAGACAGGAGCAATGGAGAGGAAGAAAGGAATTAGTGCTGTCAACAGCAGGCCAGTTTGTCTTAAAACCTTTCAAATTGTGGAAAGAACTGAGCAATGTATTTCCTGGGGCAGGAGGCAGTGGGCTGGGGGGCTGTGCACCCCCTCCCCCAGGTGGCCTGCTCAGCATTCCAGAGGGAGGGGCGCCTGGTGTTTGGGAATCCTTCACAAAGAGGTGGGCCAGTGGCCACAGGCTGCAGCCCCACGGGAGCAAGGCAGGGGGGGCGGGGAAGCAGGGGGCAGAAGGGGTGAGGGAGCGGGAGCTGGACGTGCTGCTGTGTGGGTGGACTTGGAACCCACTATGTGAAGTGAAGGAAGCCAGACACGAAAGACCACGTATTGCGTGTTGCCATTGATAGGAAATGTCCAGAATAGGCAAATCCACGGAGGCAGAAAGTAGATGAGTGGCTGTCTAGGCTGGGCGCTGGGGGTGGTTGGGGGGAGCTGGGGCAGTGAGTGTCAGTGGGTATGGCTTCTTTTCGGGGTGATGAAAACAATCAACAACGGACTGCGGTGATGGTCGCACAACTCTGGGACTTCAGTAAAAGCCACTGAATCGTACGCTGTAAGTGGGTGACTTGTTTGGGACGTGGATCCTATCTCAGTAAGGCCGCTCTTGGAAAGCGGATGTCATGTGTGAAATGGGAATAAGAACCACACCCGTTTTTCTGAGCAGTGAGGATGAGATGGGCCGGTGTCTGGGAAGTCTATGCAGTGTTCTACGGTGGCTTTGTCATTTTGCTTCCGTGGCTTGCTCCCCAGCTACAGAAACACATTTTTTTCCTGGTTCTGTGAAAGTTTTCATGCCACCTGGAGCCCAGGCCCCTGTTAGAAGCTGAAGTCCTCATAGGGAGTGGGGAGCATCTTCTGGGAGGGACAAAGATCCGGGCTCCCATGCATGATGGTGGCCTGCCTGCCCTGAGAGCATGGCCCCTTCGGGCCCCCGGGGGGGGTCAGGAACAGGCCCAGCGAGGAAGAGGGAGGATCACCAACCTTACATGTCATTCTGGGTTCATGATCTTCACAGCCACCGTTACTCCCATTCTAAATTCCAAATGCACGTATTCCCCAAATTAGAATGCCACGGTCCATGTGCTCGAGGCCATTCAGCTGGTGGAGAGGGGTGGGTGTGAAAACCCAGCTCTGTCCAAGCCAGAAGCCCACCAGTCTCCCCAAAGCTGCCCAGAGCAGGGGTGCCGGAGGCGCAGTTTGGCCACAGTCTGATTTTGTTCAGAGCTGGCTCGGAGCCAGGCCTCTGAGTTGACTGAAATGTTCTGAGAGTTGCTGAGGGAAATGGGGCTTTGAACTTGCCTAATATAACACGGGCTGGTTCTCAGGATCATAAACATGTTTCTGAACCTAATTAAAGAGTCTCGTGAAAAGAGGGAGAGCAGAGCTGAGACATGACGGTCCGTCTAAAATCTCCCCGTGGGCCAGAACGGGAGCTTTGCTTTTCCCAGACTCGGGGAGAACCAGCCCTCTCTGGGGGCAGAGAGTTAAGAGGCTTTAGAAAGAAGAAAAGGCTCTTTTACAGTCCTGGCTGGGGACCTGGGCTGGACCGGGGAGGGAATGTAGGAGGCATAATTGGGGCTTGTAAAACATTTCCAGACAAAATCACTTAATGTGTTTTGGAGAGTAAAAGGCAACAGTGCACATAATCCATAAATTTGGGTATTTTTCTACAGCGTCCGTGGAGCCGGAGCAGGGGACAGGAAGGACCGCCAGTCCGGTGATCCATGGGCCGCGCCGGCTGCAGGTGGACTCGGCTCTGAGCGCAGGAGCCCAGTGTGGCCGGATGCGTGGGCTTGAATCCTTGCTCCACCGCTCACTCGCTGTGTGACCTTGGGCAGGTAATTTATCCCACCCGGCCTCAGTTTCCTCTTTTGGAAAATGGAGATACAACAGTACCCCCCTCATGGGTTTGTTGGGAGGGTTTGGCCGTGTGACTATGTTCAAAGGCCTTCGAGAATAAGTGCCTGAATCGGTTGGCTGTCCTTAGTCTCTGCCTTGGAGGTGGGCTGCTCCCTGGTGAGGGCAGGACTGTGGATCCTGGGGAAGAGTCCAGGCCTGGGAGAGCTTCTGGAGCTGGAGCCATATCATGCTTCTCTTGAGCGTGTCTCCCCATTTCTCCCCTGGTTTCCTTTCTACCAGCATCAGTCACTGCCATCAATGTCGCAGCAGCCTCTGGTGCCAATAGACGTCACAGACACATCC